GAATTTTTATGCTCGCGATTGCCCCCTCAGGCCAAAAGCGTAACGGCAGCTTCAATAGTAGGCTCCTGCACGAGGCGCGCATGCTGTACGTGCACACTTCTTAACGAAAATAACAGCTGAGACAGAGCTCTTAGACAGTCCCTTGTGTGTGTGTGTGTGTGTGTGTGTGTGTGTGTGTGTGTGTGTGTGTGTGTGTGTAGCCCGGAGGACAGAGGACAGGAGAACGTGCAGCTAATTAATTAATTTGGTTCTGTACCTTTCTCTTCAGCACAGCCGACAAAGGTTTATGATGGGTCAGTCCTCCTGCATGCTCAGATCATTCCCTTCCCTTGCTTGAAAAATTGTTCCAAAATGAAAGTTGAACCCACATCTTTTTTATCTGTGAATTCAATGCCGTTCGGCAAGTCTCAAATAAAAATTTGGGCATCTTACTGTAAAACATATACCATTAATGTAAAAAAGAAAGTCTAAATAAAATATGTTCACATCTGGAATTGAACCTGGGTCTTCTACACATGAGTCCAGCATTTTACTAAGTGAGCTAAAGCGCCAGTGACGTCTTTTGAATCTGTAACATTTATATTCTTGATGACAACTGAAACAACGTTCAAAGAATGGTTCGGAGGGCTATGCCTGAGCGTGAACGCGCATGAAGCAGCCTGCTCGACCCGAGCAGCTCTCTTTTTCTGTGATTTTACAGAAAAACAGGCAATCACAGTAAAAATGCCAGGGCTCATTCTACAGGACCAGGGCATTGCAGGAGAATGTATTAAGAAGAAATTTATTATTTCTATACATGTTTTGGCTGTCAAACTTCCATAATGCCCCTTTAAATAAATAAATAATATATAAATTCACATCAATGAGCCATCTCTGAGGGGATCCATGAGCAGGGTTGGTGCACATAACATCAATAACTGAATTAGCTCCAGTATCAAGTGTTGATTTGCACAAACATGCATGGAGGCTGCAGTTCTGTTGTGTGTGAGCAGAGCGCACATATGCTGGTGTGTGTGACAAACCTGGCCTTCCCCACCCAATAGGTTCAACTGACTACTGCCACACCGCTACTACAGCCACATGAGCACTGGTCCATTTTAGTAGTAGAACATCACATACATGTCAGCATAGAAGAATGGGTTTGAATGTACTCTTACCTGCATGTAGGTCTCATCTGGGATTGGTCCATCATTAAGCATCTGAGGAACAGGGCTGGTCTCATTCTCTTACTGCTGCAGCAGGAGTCTGAAGGCCTTTCATCTGAAATATAGATAACAGACAAAAGACTCAGAACTTGTTTGAAGAGACATTCAAAGGCAAAACAGATCATCTAACTGTGAAACAACACAGAACTGCAACTGAGAACATGGCATGGCCTTCTGGGCTAATGAGCAGCTCTCATGATGATTCCAGGAGTTCACAGTGGATAAGTCAAAATATTGGTTTAAAACATGTAACAGCTCAGACAGTACACAATTATGAATGTTAAAATCACAGTTGAGGTCATGTCTGGTGTTACCATAGTGCACTAAAAACAATTACAAGAAGAATAGGATGGAAGGGCCTCACTTGGGTCAGACTACAGACATATGAGTGTGTTAAGGAGATACTACAGATAGAAATGTGTTTGGAAGATGGAAGGACCCCATAAGAACATGACTGGAAACATGCCAGTGCATGTGACATTACCTGGCCTTCCCCACCCAATAGGTTCACCTGACTATCATACAGCCACATGAGCATTGATTCACTTTAGTAGTAGAACAAAACCACATACACTTCAGCATAGAATAATGGGTTTTAATGTACTTTTAACTGTGTGTAGGGCTCAACTGGGATTGGTCCATCGTTAAGCATGTGAAGAACAGGGCTGGTCTAATTTTCTACTGCTGCAAAGCTTGGACTCCATTCCTCGCATACTTAGAAGAGACTAAATCACTGTAGTCTGGTGTATTTGTTCCTGCATCAACGACCTTTCTCTCTGTCTCTGCCCAGCAACTTAGTATTTGACTGGCAACATCCATGTGTCTGAGCTACTGTTTGTTTGTTTGGTTGTTGATTGGTTTTCTGTATGTTATAAGGAAAACCCTAAGTAAATAAAATATTTTAAAAAAGTTCACATACATTGTCAATGTGTATGCACCTATATTTATACACATACATATAGAAGAGGCACATTCAATTCAATTCAAAAATACTTTTTCTATTCAATTCAATACAATTCAAAAACTACTATTGATCCCAGAGGGAAATTGATTGCTGTAGTAGCTCAGAATAATAATAATAATAATCAAGTCATCAAATAGTTATTGTATATTACAAAGGCTGTTGGCAGGAAGGATCTCCAGTAGTGGTCAGTGTTGCAGCAAAACTGAAGAAGCCTCTGACTGAAGACACTCTTCCGTTGTCGGACAGTCTGGTGATGAGAATGCTCAGGGTAGTCCATCATTTTCTTGATTCTCTGGAGAATCCTTCTTTGCATTATCTCCTCCAGTGGTTCCACAGTCGTTCCCAGAACAGAACCAGCCTTTGTTATTAGGCTGTTGAGCCTTTTCAGGTCCCTTCTTAAATACTTTATTAATCCCAGAGGGAAATTGAAGCGTCCTGTGAATATTATCTCACAGTTCTTCTTGTCACAGGTTGCCTCTGAGCAAGTGTTATGTATTCTGAGCAGAGAAAAACAAGATTGTGATCTGATTGTCCCAGAGGAGGTCTTGTTTTGGACATGTATGCATTCTTTACATTTGCATAACACAAATCCAATGTCTTGTTTTCTCTGGTGGAGCAGCTGACAAACTGTTGAAATGTTGGAAGTGTAGCAGAGAGTGAGGCATGATTAAAATCACCAGATATAGCCACAAATGCATTGGGGTGCTGGGTTTGTAGCTTAGCGACAACGGAACTGATGGCATCACATGCATTTTCAGCAATGGCTGAAGGTGGAATATAAACGGTTGCCAAGACAACACTGGTGAACTCTCTTGGCAAATAATGTGGGCGACAACTTACTGCCAGGAGTTCAACATCTGGGCTGCAGAGACGACATTTCACTGAAACATGACCTGGATGGCACCATCTGTTGTTGACAAGCACTGCCACTCCACCTCCTTTTCTTTTCCTGCTTCTCTTCAGATCTCTGTCTGCTCGTACAATCAGGAATCCTGGCAGAGGATACAAAAAAAAAGAGTAGAACAAAATAGACTATTGATCCCACAGTGGGGAAATTCACTTACGGTGGAACCAACACTTGAGAGAAAAATTTGAAGAAAAATGTTAGACTTCTGAAGCAAATCAATTACAGGTTGGCAACAGAAACTCATAGACAGAGTTACTGAATTAACGAAATGATACTTTTTCCCAGGATAAGTAGTACTCCTCCCGTTATGTAGAGCTCCATGTTCTCACAAAATTTCTAGAGTTCTGTTTTAAAGTTTTAAAATATGCAGTTCGGAATTAAACCAGGGAGTAAACCTGTGTGTGTAATTACCATTTTTTACCTGCAAACTACAAACTTACATTAGTGGCGAAGTGAGGACATTTTTCTGGTCCATACTTTAGTACCTACCCCCTCTACCCCCATTGTCTAATCAACCTTTTATCTCCCCCTTTTGTCTGCACTCTGTCTAACCTCGTATCTCCATCAGGTCTGCTTTACTGTACATGACATGAGCAGGTGTATAAAAATAAAGTTGGGATGTGAATTTTACTCATCGTTAACACATGTTTTTATGATACATGCATTTCTAGATGGAGTTTCTGTACAAAAAAATTTCATTTTGATGCAGACTAAAATCCCAAAACATAGATGAAAACAGAAAATGTGTTTAGATGCATGGCTTTTGCGTAAAATATTTGGTAAAACATGATTTGAAAACAAAATAAGATCAGCTGTTTCAAAACACATAATTTAATGAAAATGTTCTTGCTTCAGCGTACAGATTTTCTAAACATTTTCTGAAACCCTAACCCATTGCCTTTAAACACATCACTGCCATTTCACAATTTGATAGCCACTCCACCAAGCTAGACTGCGAAGGGGGCAATCCTGCATCAAACCTCGTTCCTCTCCTTCCGGGAACAGTGATTATATGCATACCCTAACATTCATTTTCAGTTGATTGACTTGGTAAAATGAAGGCACTATGAGACATATCAAAATGCTTCATGAGCAGCTATCACACTTAGGTTGAGAACATCTAAGATGGTAATTCAAACCCATCAGAAAGAACCACATGGGCCACGGAAGGGGCCGTAACATCCAAATGGTAAAACCTCATTAAAAGTTTGGGGTGTAGCCCAGCTAGCAGCCCAGCAAATGTCACCAACTGAAACATCCCTAAACAGCACCCAGCAGCCACACCTGTAGTAGAGTGTGCCCTGATCCCTTGGGGCAGCTGAGAGCCATTAACCCTCTGGTGGCAGGCGTTGCAGATTTGCAACGTTAAAACCTACCTACCTGGTTGCTCCACATACATATTTCATGAGCTTTTTTTTTTACTCAGAAGTATCCCTGAAGGACTTAGTTGTTCGTCCTTTTATCTAAACTTATTTTGAGCCTGAGAAGGTTAACACTATAACACAAGGAAATGTGCTCTACAATCCAATGGGCAAGTCATTGCTTCGACAAAGCTGTTCACAGCAATTTCAGCATGCTCAAATTAACACCGTCAGATTTGATTTCAACAGTTCAAGTGTCTATTTGGGTCATCACCAGTAAGAGTTAATTTAACTCTTTTTGGAGGATTGGTACTTAACACTGATTTAGTGTCAAAACAAACTCTTCTGGAGTTGATAATTTAACATTCATGTTAGATTTGCTATATTATTCTATAATGAATAGTCTTATGGAAAATTCTAATTTAGTGTGAAAACACAGAAAAATCACATCCTCTTCTATCCCTATAATCTTGAAGATGCTGATATTTTTCTTCAATTAAAACAAATTCCTCTCCTAATTAACACTAACACTCACCCATTTTCTCCATCTTTGTGTTTTGTAGATATGGGGCTTCTACAAGCAAGGCTACAAGTGTAAAGGTAATACAACCATTCAGAGAGCAGATATTTTTGTTTCAACTGGGAGACTGCAGCCTCCAGAGATTAACTGATTTTGCCAATGATTTCCCATCTGACACCTTCACAGATATACCTAGGAATGTCAATAACGCATGGCAGCCAGGATTAGTGTGTAGTGTTGCTCTATCTGGGTCCACATCCAAATCGT